TCATGGATTTTTTTTCACATTCTGTCTCTCACAGTTGAAGTGCACCTATGATGAAAATTACTGACCTCTGTCATCATTTTAAGTGGGAGAACTTGCACAATTGGTGGCTGACTAAATACTTTTTTACCCCACTGTAGAAAATAACGAGATTAAAAAATGATTGAAAATATCATAAAATTGGGAGAAGGAAAAAAATTGATTAAAAATGTGAGGAAGCAATCAGTGGATCCTGGGAAAGGCAGAATTTGTAGGAGGATCTGAATGAGGAGAAGGTAGTGATGAAGCATCAGTTGACAATCACACCAAAGCCTGAACAGGTGAGTCTTCAACTGCTTTTTAAAGGAGACCACTGAGCCCACTGATCTCAGGCTAAGGGGGAGAGAGTTCCAGAGTCTGGGGGCCACAGCAGCAAATGATCTGGATCTTGAAATGAACCCTGAAGTTGACTGGCAGCCAGTGAAGCTGGAGGAGAAGCGGAGTGATGTGGGTGTGTTTGGAGGACTTGGTCAGAAGCCGAGCACAGGCATTCTGACCCACCTGTAGACGGTTCAGGGAGGTTCTGCTCAGACACGTGAAAAGAGAGTTACAGTAGTCTAAGCGTGAGGAGATGAAGGTGTGGAGAACTGTCTCAAGTTCAGAGCGGGACAGAATGGGACTCAGCTTAGCAATGTTCCTGAGATGGAAGAAGGAAGAGCGAACAAGAGAACTGACATGAGAATCCAGGGTAGAGCCCTGCACGGGCCTAAAATCTGAGCCCGTGTCCGGCCCGGCCCGAGGGGGTGGAGCCCCAGCCCGACCCGGTCCGAAAAGGTTTTCAGGATTCTCTGGCCCGACCCGAGCCCGACTTTTTTTTAACAACTAAATGAAAACAAAGTGCGTCAATCCTGACCAATGTGTTAAAAGACGTGCAGGATCCGATCAATTTGTTTTTCCCTCATTTACCGTCACGGAGATAACGGCGCACTGGCTCTGGTGGTAATCAAGTTAAATTTGATCTCTTTCCAACAATTTTCACAAGAAAACAAAACAGTCAAAAGCAGGGCTTCTGTTGACCGGATAGTTCCCGTATTTGACCGTTTATTTTGACAGAGAAAGAATAGAAAGAATTACCCCGACGCATGCAGACGAACTGACATTTTATTCGTTACACACATCGCAGATGTAGCTAAATCACCCAAGAAAAGATTTCCTTCTGAACATCTGAGCTGGACACTGCTCAGCGCAGCTCGCTGTCAGCGCATATGTGCACAGCGAGCTGAAGTTGTGGAGATTGGCTTGGAGCGCGTCGCAGAACCAGAGCGCATGCGGGAAGATTCCTCCCACTGAAGTGAGTGTTTTCCAAACCCTGTCGCTCAGAGAGACTTGTCACTTAGAAAATGTTCCCTGATTATGAAACTTTAGCTGAATAGTGCTTGTTCCTGTCTCCAATGTGGCGTCACATCCAGGAGCCGTCTGAGGAGAATCCCAGAATCTCGTCAGCTCAGAAAGCGCCTATGATTACGCACAAGCGTGACCCATCAACCCGGTCTCACAGTAAGACCGGGTTGGGCCTGTTCAGGTTTACGCAGACAATCTTTACATAGAATTGACTTACAGATATAAAATTAATTCAGTAAAATATAAAGCATTTTATTTAAATATCCATTCATTATTTTACAAGCACAGAGAGCCGCATCAGATGGATGGAAGAGCCGCGGGTTGTGACATGTTTTCTCCAGGACCAGACAGGACGCAAACTCGATACATCTCTTTTATTGTGAGGTAATAATTTCTCCGAGTTTTGCGGTTGCGGGCGGGAGTAGACATGCACGCTACGGGTGCGGGCGGGAGTGTAACACACACGTTGCAGTTTCAGGTGGTAATGGTCAGAAATTCAGCGAGAGCGGGCAGGAGCGGGATGAAGAAAACAGTCCCGCGCAGGGCTCTGCTGCTGCGTTTGTGTTTCAATTTTTTTAATGAATTCGATTAAAAATAAAGGCGCCCGGCCCGTGTCCGAGGTAATTACACAGTCGTTGGCCCGAAGCCCGACCCGAGGGCCTAGGGCTTCAGTGCAGGGCTCTAATCCAGGGTGAGAGCTGGGTCAAAGGTCACGCCAAGATTCCTGACAGAGGTTTTGGTGTGAGAAGCAAGCTGACTAAGAGAGTCTCTGACTTTGGGAACCAGCTTGTCTGGGGCACAGATGAGGATCTCAGTCTTATCTTCATTCAGCTGTAGAAAGCTCCCAGCCATCCAGGTTTTGATAGAGTCTAAGCAGGTGTGTAACAGCTGCAGCTTAGACATCTCATGGGGCTTAAAGGAGATGTACAGTTGGATGTCATCTGCATAAAGATGGTAGGAGATTCCTCTGAAGGAGCTCAGGATGTGCTGAAGAGGAAGCAGATAGAGGAGGAAGAGTAGATGGCTACTATGCTTCTAACACGTCTACAGGCCTAGAGCTAACTCCACACAATCTGAATTCTGAGACACAATGTTGTTTTAAAGATTTGACCAAATGAACTAAACCTTTGTCAACCATCAATAACTGTAGTTTAAAATGGCCAAGAAGGTAGTGGGCAATTACTGTAGGGATTGTTGGTCAGTGTTGTGTTTAATCAGTAGTAAGGTTGTTTTGCATCTCAGCTACTTTCATATCGTTCCTTTTTCTGATTGACACAAATTCCTCCTTTACATCCTTGCAGAGATATTTAGCAGCACTTGTTGACCTGGCCGGCTGATGGCTGTTAGGCGTTATTAAGTGAAAGGATAAAAACATGTTTTCGTTACTTGTTCTGTACCGACTTCTCTTTAAAACAGCTGGATCTCGGCTGAGTGTGAATGGGCTTTAGTTTTCACACAACCTTCTGTTCCGATCCGCTTTTTGACAACTCCTCTACAACACAGTTTGACTTTGAAAAGTTCAGAATCGTCTGAGCTTTGGCGACATCTTTACTCTTGCCCACATCCATGCTAATGTGGCTAATTCTCATTCTCCCACCACTACAGGCCACACTTCAGCAGCTGGTTTAAACGGACATGTCAGCTTGAATCTACGGAGGAGGAGCGTGCAGCAGGCCTGCGGAGGATGAGACTTTATTTTTGCTCTTCGGTCACGTACACCTCATCATGGCCAGAGATGGGATGTGTATGTTTACGTGTGCCGTGTGGATGTGTTCCTGTGCATGTGAACAGACACATGTTGTTTCCGTGGTTGTGAGGGCTGGAGACCAAGAATGCTGCTGGTCTGCAGCGTGTTTCCTGCCTTCATTTACACATCGCCCCACCTCTGATCTGCATTTCCTTCCTTCCAGTGCTCCCCATTTACACAAGCAGCAACCGAACCACTACATGGTCTCACACAGAGGATGTGACATGATCTGATGGGGGTCCTTTGTGAACTATTTTTAATCATTTTGACTGACTTGAGAGGTTGTAGTATTTAAAGACTTGATGGAAAAGTCTCTGTCCTCACCCATCCCTCACCCATCCCTCACACACCCAGATGACGTCTCTGCTAAACCTAGATTAAATTAACTCTCATCCTGAGAAATGTTCTCAGCTGGGAATTTGCTTAGTCCACCTTTTCCATTGATGAGGGAATGAAAACTTGATCCTGCTCTTGCTTATTTTTTTTGTGACTATGATCAGATTGCACAAAGACCCTTGTTCAGCCCCGTCCACACTAGCCAATACAATGAAGCCTTTTGTGAGCTTGATTCAGGCTGATATCATGCTGGAAACTATTTAGATGGGGTCACATGTTGTCAAGGCATGCTCTCTTAGAGATTCTCCTCTTACTCACTTAACAACAGAATGTCAGACCTTCTGTGGACAAACGGTTACTTGTGTAACGTATGGATGCATTTGGGAAAACCAAGATTTGCAAACAGCATGACTTGCTTGGATACAGTGGATTGTTTTATGCATCCTATTATTTCATACACCTATTTTTATGATCTCCACCTCTTTAACAGGATTAGTGCGTTCCATGAAAAACCTGCTAACCCTAGAGGGAACTGTTCAGTTCAGGTCACGAGTCTGGACTTCTGGTCCTCAAGGGCTGCAATCCAGCACATTTTAGATGTTTCCCTGCTCCAACACCCCTAAATCAATGACTGAATCGCCCGTTCAGCCTGTTAATCACCGGCTGATTAGAATCAGGTGTGTTTAAGCAGGGAAACAAATAAAACATGCAGATTTGTATTCCTCAGGGGCCCTTCTTTAATACCCCTACACACACACACACACACACACACACACACACACACACACACACACACACACACACACACACACACACACACACACACACGTATAGTTTTTAATCACTAGCAATGAAGAGTTAACATTAGAGGCAAGGTTTGGATACTGTAGGTTTAGTGGGAATGATAACATATCATTGATCTTCTAATGATGGTAACAAAAATGTGATCTTCTTAAATTTCCCCTTTTCTGAAATATGATAAGCCTCGAAATCTTTTATGTAATATCTTACATGAACGTTGCTGCAAAAACTGCTCAGGTTTATGAGGGCCACACCAAATAGTTAATCTCCTGTGAAAAAAAAGAATAAATAGACACAGATGCTCCGTTACACTTTGAACATCTTTTTATCATCAGATCAGGTCCTTGACAGCCTCACACGCTTGTCGAATTTCATTAACCTCTCTTAAGCCATAATTTGTCTGTGCTGGCATCTATGCTACAGTGTGAAGTTACACAGCGAGTCTTGGAAGCAGCTGGATTTCCCCACCCTTGCAAGAAGCAGTTGGAGATTTAGTAAGTTGATGATAAGCCTGTATGGTAAACAAACACGTCCCACATTCAGCAGCTGGCATCTAAAACAAACTTTTTCCCAGACTCTTTTGCACTGAACTGGTTAAACTGTGTGGTGGATCTAACTGAAACAGCCACGGTTTGTCGTCTTGGCCTGTGTGGATTATATATATATATATATATATATATATATATATATATATATATACATATATATTAATATCATGGTGAGGGAGTCTCTGCTGTCATCTGCTTCCTGAAGATTAGAGACACCAACACAGCTCTACACCAAGATATAATACAGATGTATTATTTTTCCAGCATAGTCTTCACTAGCTTGAGTAGTGAGCTGAAACACGATTGCTGCTCTGAAAAAGAAATGCTTTGGCTAAGTACCATGTGCAGCTACCTGTACATACACAGTAGCCCCAGTAAGATGCAAGCTGTAAATAATTTACCTGTGCAGAATGATTAAATAATTCAAGTGCTGAATTAGCTACATGTGTAAAACTATGTTTTCCTCACAGTAAAAGAAAGGCAGAAAAGTTAGAGCTAAGCCAAGGGAAGGAACAGCTAATGTAATATCTGTCAGTAAATATGATGAAGGTAAAGTATTTTCCGCGGCTGTTTCTGTGTGGTATAGCCAGCCGCACCGCTCCTTCATATTGATTTCCTGTGCAGGATATTACTGCACAGTCCAGGTCCCGTTCTGATAAAATAATATAAGACACATTTTCTAGCTACTGTATTTGCCTAGAAGTGTGTGATGGGGAGGGGAAGGGATGCACGACTGCAAACCCAGATGGTGTTTGTTTCGTTTTCAGAGATCAGGAGACGTATTCAGTTCCATAACACTGGCTTCGTGAGCACAGTCTTCGGGAGGTGTGGTGGTATTTTTGTCAGAAAATAGCCCCCAATTGGAAAGAGCCGATGCAATGAGGCTGTGTTTTTATGATGGGTTCGCTTTCATCTGAACGTGCCTCTCAGTTCTATAAATAAACCTCATGCTGCTGGTGAGTAGCCATTTATGTTTATGTCAGCCGTTCGTATTCCTGGCTCTTAGTAAACACAGGTGTGATTGCGAGTGAAGCTGGCGTGCGACTTCATTCAAATGTGACAAAATCTGAACCGCTGCAGCTTTATGGTTACGTCAGCATTGTTAAAATATTCTAGAAGTTAAAGATCTGTGGCAAACACACACGAGGAAAGTATGAGCTGGTATGGGCTCGTCGTCCAGGTCCACTGTCCACCTCACCAGTCGGCAGCTCCACCCGCCCATCCCCTTGGCTTGCTGTGACACTTGATCTCAGGGTCAGCTGCAACGGGGGTATTTCTGCTGTCTCTGTGTACTTTTTTAATGCCGTAAAAGCTGGTTTGGTGTGACAGACTGTCACATGTCTCAAGGGTCACTCCAGATGACTGCTGCTTTTCCTGGTGCTCAGTTTCACTTCACTTTAAGGCTCTCACGCACTTTTTCCCTTCTGGGCTTGATAAACACACATTACAGTTCTTGACATGAAGTGACTGATTTAATAGCAAGGTGAAATATTAGTGATGAAGTTAAATTAATAATCCTAATTTAATGTGCCGAAGTGCATCAGCACTCTGTCTGTGCAGTTCTTGGTTTCAGTTTTGCTCGCTGAAATAAAATATCTGTCACTTTGTAATTTTGTTTATTATTGATTTGTAGAAACAAATAAAGATCAAATCAGATTAAAGACGGGCCCTTGAGGGCTACAAATCAGCACGTTTTATTTGTTTCCCTGCTTAAACACACCTGATTTTAATCAGCCGGTGATCAACAGGCTCAACGGGTGATTCAGTCATTGATTTAAGGGTATTGGAGCAGGGAAACATCTAAAACGTGCTGGACTGCAGCCCTTGAAGACCAGCAGTAACTGTTCTGGGGCTCATTAGGCTTCCACTCACTGTGTGTGTGTGTGTGTGTGTGTGTGTGTGTGTGTGTGTGTGTGTGTGTGTGTGTGTGTGTGTGTGTGTGTGTGTGTGTGTGTGTGTGTGTGAGTGCTCCTCAGAGAGACAGAGAAAAAGAGAGGGCTTCAGTCAGAGGCATGTTTACTCCTCAGTATCCAGAATGATAATGAATTGTGCACGCTGGAAGCCCCTGCTAGCTGATTCTATCCACCAATCAAAGGCTCCCCTAATGGTAGGTATGAATTTGAGCCAGCCAATCAGTCAGCAGTGGGTGTGTTGGACCAGTTCAGCCTGAAGCCGACTGCCTTGGGAAGAGGACTGAAAAAGATGACCGGTCGCACACAGAAAAAAATCCAGGCTATGCAGATGGGAACACTCCCTACCCCATCTAGGCAGAGTGGACCCAGCGCTAGCGTGGAGCCCTATCCAGTATGTCACACCCACCTTGGCCTGCATCCACAGAAGGTTTCTTTGAATTGGAATTCAGAATAAGAGAGAACAGAGCATGCCTCGGCTAGTAGAAGCTAACCATTAGCATTAGCAGCTCCACAACATGGTGAAACACATTCAGGCTTTTGTTATTTGTGGAGATAAAACATAAATTTAGCATTTTTAACCCAAAAAAAGAAGAGTGAACAAAGGTGGGGAAGAGTTGCTTTGCTGTCAGAGATAAGATGTTCGCAAATAATGCATATTAATGAGTTCCTCCAACTAAACTCTACTTCCTGAAACAGGAGAGCCAGAGTTTTTTATTTTTTATTTTTTCACAGAAAGTGACTCACAAGGGTTACATTCATACTACAGACCACAGCAGATTTATTGAAATAATGAGTGTATGCTCACTGTAAAGAAACTAATGGCAGTTTTGATGCTGTGGCTGCATTTAAATCAACAACATGTGATCCAGATATCAGTGGCTCATTATTATCATTGTGGATGCTGACTCTCACACCTGATCTGCTGTGGCTTGCACCTCTCTAGCTAAGGGAGGAGTAAGAGGTCTGGCTTTCGGCCCTCCAAGCTGTGGTTACTCTACATGAGTCTCAGTGATGTGAGAAAGCAATGTCTGTCCTGTAGAAAAGACCAGATTCAGATTTCAGATTTATTGGCCAAGTAAAATTACATTTACAAGGAATTTGTCTTCAGTAGATTGACTGATTTTATAATAATTTATCCTGGCTAAAATGAGATTATCATTTTTTTATTCACTTCAGACCATTCAGACAAATTAAAATCAAACATAAAATGAAATTCATTATTTAGGGTTTTTAGAGTTTCCTCTTTGGTCCTTAAAGGCGAATAGGGAGAAGCTCCAAGCTTTTCCTTGCCCTGTCCCTTAACATATCTCCATTTTCTAAATCCAAATAAACATCTGAACACATACACCATAAACAAAATCAATAAGCAACATTTTAATAATCACATTTACAAGAATTCATATAAACATTTATACATTTACATCTTAAATAAAATCTAAATCAAAATTAGATCTCTACGTCTTTAATTGCTTTTCTTGCCAAGCCCTTAATGTCTATCATGATTCATTAGATATTTAGTAGTTTTCCATAAGTTTTCTTTTATTATTATTATTATTATTCTTTTATATAATATTATTTAGCTCTCTTTGTAGAATTAGCATAGTTTTAGTTTTAGTTTTTGTTATCACAAACTAAACGAGATTCAGCAGTTTCCTTAACCTGCAATGACCATATCTAAAGGTTTGATCATAAACCCACTCACTAGGGATGCTCCGATCCGATCACGTGATCGGAAATCGGGCCCGATCACGTGACTTTTAAAAGATCGGAATCGGGTGTTAAAGATCGGATTTAACCTTATAAAACAACAAGCATGACATTTTTAATCAATCTTGAGTTTCAAATTGAATAACAATGGCATAATTTTGTACCAAGTTTCACTTCCTCAATAGCGACATGACAACACCATACGGCAGCCGTAACGTCACACGTTTTAAAGCGGACCGTGGAATTCAGGCAGCAGTTAGCGAGCAGGTTAATGCTCGTCTCGCTCCAGGAGAGCAAAAAATGTCAGCGGTTTGGAATCATTTTAAACTGCACTTTATTTGGGAGCCTTAAAGTAAAAGTTGAGCTCCATGTAGAGCACATGGAAGAGGTGATTTACCAGTTCTTTGCAATTTGATGTTGATGTTTTATACTTGAACGGTGAAGTTCGTACACCACTTTGATTAGGCATATCTTTTGTTCGTTTTAATAAACTAGTCAGTCAAAGGCCTAAGATGTATTTTATTTTGTTACCTGACTAAATTATGCAACTACCTCTTAGAGGTGGAGGTAAGCACTTTAATTTAACTTCTATTATTGTGTTGAGTTATTTTACAAACCTTTTCTACTTTTCTATAAAAACTAATTTGTTTACATATTGTTGCACCACTGATAAGCTACAAAGAGATAATTTTGTTTACTTGGTTTGAAGTGCTGCTGCACTAACAAAATGTTTCTACTTTCTTATGGTATCATGTTGGATGTAGTCATATAAATAATAATAATAATAATAATAATAATAAACCTAACAGGTCAATTTGTGTGCAGTCTCCCTTTTTTCTTGCTATTTTATTGTTATGTTTATGTTTATTCATTTAGCAGATGCTTTTATCCAAAGCGACGTACAATTTATTTAACTTGTAGGGCATGTTGTGATCTGTGGGGGAAACCGGAGTACCCGGAGAAAACCCACGCATGCATGGGGAGAACACGCAACTCCACGCAGAAAGGCCACTGCCGAGTTTCGAACCTGCAACCTTCTTGCTGCGAGGCAACAGTGCTAACCACTGCGCCACCATGCAGCCCATCATATTGTATTGCTGAAGTATCGGATCGGGACTCGGTATCGGCAGATACTCAGAATCAAATGACTCGGAATCGGATCGGGAGCAAAAAAATGTGATCGGAGCATCCCTACCACTCACTATATATATATATATATATATATATATATATATATATATATATATATATATATATATATATATATATATATACCATCATAGTAATACTTCATCAATAAAAACATAGACTAGCTTAGATGTGGTTTATATTCTCAATCTAAGATTTAGAGTGAATCATCAAGTCTTTGAAAAGTCACCTTTTCAGTGTGCAACTATATCTGTGTTTAAATGAATGTACATGTATGCATAAATAATTTGCACATGTATTTTTTGTCTCATTCTTTTTAACAACTGCTACTCCTATTCTACATCTATAATCAAATGTATTTTATATGGAATATTTTATAGTTTCTCTTTCAGAACAACTTGTAGAAAACCCCTTTGGGAGCACAGCCTTCCTTCCTTGTTTTCATAATGTTAAGCCAAGCATGAAGTGCAACATAAAAGACAATAAAAGAAGCATTTGCATTGAATGACTAACAGTTGGAGTATGTGGGAGACCTTCAGTGACCTAAATGCCATTGTTTTAGTCTGAAACCTGCATGGGTTATACAGCTTTTAAAGCCTAGTTATGGGATCCTTGCCGTTTCATAAAAATTCTAAATTACAAGTAATCCAGCAACGTCTAATTGAAAAAAAAATTTTTTTAACTGAGCAACAATCAAAAAGCAGTGGCACAGGAAAAGAGAAAGAAACTGAAAGGAGGAACAAAAGCCTAACTAAGGCCAGGAAGCCGTACAGTTCTTAAGAATAAGGTTTTCTTACTTCCCACTACACGGATTAACAAGGTCATCCATCCTGCCTTTGCATGCTAAACAGGCTTTCTTTCTTTCCACTGGCCATCTTGGCTCAACAATCTGTAAGCAAGCAGACCTCTACTTGGCGAGCTCTCTGGGCTCCGTCAGCCTGGAAGATGCAGCTTTCTGAACCCACTCAAATGGTGGCTACACTGGTCCTTCCCCAGCGGAGTCACACATAACAGCAGACAGCTCCTGTCCGCAGCAGCTCGGCTGCATACTGGCTTCCAGCTCTGCCAGTTTAGCATTCTATTTCAGTCGGAGATCTGCTGGAATGTGGGCATGGCATAGGCAAGATCTGGAGAATGCAGGAATATGTTTTAGGACTTTCATACTTAAAGAGGAAATTTCATACTTA